GGAAAGTTTGTCCCCCCCCCCGAAAAAATTTTGGTGGGGTTGGGCCGTACCCCTTTTCCCGGGGAAAATTTTTTTTTGTTTTTATTTGACACCATTTGGCCGATTTTGGCCCCCTTTTTTAAACCAAGAAACAAAACCCCCTTTTTTTCCCTTTTTGGGGGGGGTTTCCAAGCCCCCTTTTTTTTTTTTTTTTTTTTTAGTGGTGGCCCCCCCGTAGTTGGTTGGGGTTCCCATGTAGGCCCCCCCCCCCCTTGCCCCTTTTTGTGGCCCCAAAAAAATGGGTCTTGGCCCAATGTTGGGGGGGGCCGCCCCCCCTTTTTTTGATTGATCCCCTCCCTTTTGGATTGTTTTGCTGGGTTGGGGTCCCCTCCCCCCCCCCCCCCCCGTCTTCGTTGGATGCAGCGACGTGTCGCGGAAGGAGCGGCCATGCTCCGCACCAAGGGCGAGGCCGGCACCGGCAACGTTGTCGAAGCCGTCCGCCACGCTCGCGCCGTACAAAAGGAGATCAGAATGGTGAGAGACACAGAGGAGAGAATAACCGGGGTAATGGTGCGTATCTGGGACACTCTTTTTGCTGCGTTCCTCTTAATTAGTTGAGAGAGAGCCTCTCCCTCACGGGCGACGCATCCCACTGGGGACAGGGCACGGTTTGCTCTCCAATTGGTCGCGAGTCCGGTGGTTTCGCCCCGAAAAACGTGGCACGTGGGGACGTCGTTCGGACCATGCGGGCGGCAGATAGGGAGGAACTGCGACGTTGTCGTGTGGTACTTAGCTCCGTGGAGAAATAATAAAAGAGTCGGCAAGATTCGCGGCAGTGTTCTTGAGAGTCGGGGTCTGGCTGTTCTATTCCCAGCAACGGCGTTCGACGGCCCGCAGGGCAGCTGCGGATGTAGATTGATTTGCGCGGCGGTACGCTCGGACGATGGGCCGGCCGTTTGTTTGCCTTGTGTGTACGTCCTGTTTCTCGATCTTTGTTTGGCAGACCGCCGGTCATGTTGATGAGGCAGACCCATGAAGCGGTTTGATCGGTTGCATCGGCGGCGGCCGTGTTGGTGGGGTCCCAATCCGCGGAGATCTGCCTTCCCAAGCGCTTTATCACGCCGTAACGTCCAGCAAAGTCTTTTCGCTCCTCTTGCTGCTGCCGCTGCGGCTGCCACTGCCGCTGCTGTTGTCAACGCGGCGGCGTCCGCGGGCGTGCAGGTGGCGTCCATGGACGAGGACGAGCTCTTCGTGTTCGCGAAGCAGATCCAGGCTCCGTTCTCCCTGGTGCAGGAGGTTGCCAAGAACGGCCGCCTGCCCGTCGTGAACTTCGCCGCGGGAGGCATCGCTACCCCGGCCGACGCCGCGTTGATGATGCAGCTTGGTGTTGACGGTAAGACGCCGCCGCCGACAGCGATCAAGTCACGGTTCAGACCGACTGGCGGTCTGAAGAGTCGGGCGGTTTGTTGTCACCAGGGCGCCCCCCTGTCACCCTTCCTTTCTATGCAGCGTATTGTTCGTGACAGTTATACATGACTGTCTCGAAACGCGCCGCAGGAAAATGTGTAACAGGTAGCCTCTGACGTGAAGTATTTGTTAGTAACGCGGCGAAATATATGCCGTCTCGCGTGCTCTGGTGCCATGAACAACATCAGCAGTTGTGTGAAAATATGCATCTGCGTGGTTTCTTTGTTTTGGCTGCCCCTCGTCGTGTGTCTTGTGTAGGCCTTGCTCGACCTTGTGCTTGTACGTCACCTTGAGACGGTCGGTCTTGGCGGTTCGGGCGGGGGGGGGGGCGTACTCAATTGTTGCTTGCCGTAATCATTTGACCATTGACCACGCGTCCCTTTCGAGACGGAACACCGTTCCTACCCCTACTAAAAACACCCGGGGGGGGGGGGGGGGGGGGGGGGTTCAAAACCGGGGCCCCAAAACCCCCAAAAAAAACCTTTTGGCCCCCCCCCCTTTAGGGGAAAAAAATTTTTTTTTCCCCAAAAACCCCAACCTTTCGCCACCGGCAAGGGGGTCTTGGGAAAAAATTAAAAATTTTCCCCCCCCCCAAAAAACCCCCCCCGGGGAAATTTTTTTCCCCCCTTTAAAAAACCGGGCGGGGCCCCCCCCAAATTTTTGATTTGGGCCAAAAGAGGGGGGAAAAAACCAAAAAGTGTTGGGGCCCCCCCTGGGGTGGGTCGCCAAAAAACTGTTCCGAAATTTTTTTTTTAAACCCTTTTTTTTTTTTTTTTTTTTTTTT